GTAATACGCATCATCACCATCATCACCATAATCGTCATCAACAACTCCAACCTCATCGTCATCAACATCATTACCGTAATCATCATCATCCTCACCAACATTGCCATCGTCGTTGTTATCACCACCTTCACCGTCATCGACGCCAGTAATATCATAATCCGCCACACTCGTCGTCGTCAACCTTACCATTATGATCGGCATCGGCATCCTCGCCGGCATCATCACCATCAGCATCATCATCGTCGTCATCAGAGTCGCCATCCGCATAATCATGGTCGTCATCGAGGTCGTCATCGGTTCAAGCATGATCAACTTGACATGCGTGCTGATAGTTGGTTCACCATGTCTTATCCACCGCCTATTCCTTCTGTCCCCCCTCCCCTCCCATACACTAAGTCGCCTCCACGTCCACAACATGACTCCCCCTCCCTTCTCCGCCTATTATTCATCTTCCTCCTCCTCTCCTCCTCATCACCATCTTCGTCCCCCTCATCATCACATCGACACCATCTGCACCACCATCATCATGGTCGTCATCATCCCTATCTCCTCCCCCTCCCCCCCCTCTCCCTTATAGACAGAGCCTCTCCGTCGTACCACCAGACGTGCTGGTTGAGGGGATCAGGCGTTTCACCTGAGACTCCTACAACTTACGTATGGCTTTGAAGCCTGGACTTTCCAGGACTTGCACACATGAAAGGAGACCGCTTTGACATTGCGCATGTCGCCACAGCGCCCTTCGCATTCGCCTCAAACGCGTGCAACCATGACACACGCGGACGGAGGGCATGCCGTACTCAGAATGTGGCTCTCTTGTTTATGCCGCGCAGGGTCGCCCTGAAATGCTCCGATTGCTACACGGGTGGAGGGTGTGTCATTTCCAAACTATTGCTCGCGCCGTGGCGCAACGGACATTTGCACACGTAGATTGTGCGGCACATACCAGTTACACTGATGGAAAGCAGGTCGTCCGAAAGGTGGGACTATGGCCTGGCGGGGCCACACTCAGTGCTGCAAGGTTCATAATGCGCATAGCCTACACTTGTCTCGCGCAAGACGTTCTCATATGTTGCACCCAACACTCCTAACTGCAAGAATGGGGGCGGGTCGTTACCAAAACGGGGCTCTTGCTTTACATCACATATCCTTGGGGCGCCCGTTTTTCGAGCGGGCGCTCTCCGCAGCGAAAAGGCGTACTTGCGGAGACTTACGAAAAGTGAGCTTGAGAAGGGAGCGGCATCGTTGATGCACACTGGGTCCACTCTGGTCTTCCTTCTCCTCCTTACTCTCCTCACTCCTCGTCTCCTGGCTGCACACATCTTCATCAGACCATGCACATCTGTCTACTCCTCCCCGCCTCATCCTGATTCACCTCCTCCTGCTGCTGCACATCCTGATTTTTGCGTGCTGCCCTTAGTCAGATGTGTTTGCTCGCGCCCGCTCGCTCACGAAACTTGATGCGAACTTGCCGCCTGTCACTCGATCCGCGCTCTCTTCGCTAGTGGTGCCCGCCTTTGATAGGCCGCTTGGCTGCACAGAGATCTCATCAGTTCCACGGCTTTGAATAATACAACCGCTGCCTCCTCAATTGGGTACTATTCCGATTCCAGCCCAAACATCCAGCGGTGCATGTTCGATCGATCCCACCGGGGCATTACCACCGTCACTGCTGTAGCCACCCCCCCTAGCAACAGACCCCCTCCCTTGCAGCAGACCTCCCGTCCAAAAGACTTGCTAACCGATGATGCTGTCCAAGCGCTCCCAGGCGAGCCTGTCCTGCCAAGTTTCATCATCGCAACTGCGATCAAACATGTGATTCATGGTGTGGTCCGCCGCCGTGTATCCCGAGACATCCAATCCACGGGCACCCAGAAAGCTTGAGGGATCCAAGGATCCGGTAAGGAACCCGAGTCTGACTTTGTCCTGTCATGTCCGCTGCGCGCTGGTGTGGCATAGTTTCATGCACTAATGTGTGATACGCTGTGGTGCGAGCAGCCATGAAGCAGCACAGCGGCAACGTAGGGAAGCGCACTCTAAAGAACGGCAGGAAACACTGAAGCAAACAGTGGGAAGCAGCAAACGCAGAAGATTGCGATCGCACGTCGATCCCTCCTCCCCCCATCCACCTCGCCCTCATTCCGCAACTCCTTCTCCTCACTCCGCCACCCCCTCTCCCGTCCCCCTCCCCCCCCCTCTCCTCGCCGTCGCCCGTGCAGAAGACCCTGGCGGACGGCGGCGCAACTACACGTGAGAAAATGCGTGCCAGATGCACGCGTGCCAGACACTTGTTCAATACCCCACGTATGACTACGCGAAAAGATCGGGGGGGCCCAAAGGTGTAGTGACCGCACCGCGTGGTAAGTCAATGGGGATTCGGAGTCACCGCAAGGTCTTGGGATTCGGGCCTTTCCCCGAGGACATCACAAGAGACTGGGGCCTCCAAATTCCCCAAGCCGTGCCGTGACGGACCGCGCGGTCAGGTCGTTGGGGATGCTGAGGCCACCACGCGGTCCCTCACCACGCAATTTTGGGGGCTCCTGAAAGAATATGGCGCTCCTACGTTGGACACGCCCCCCCGGTGGCGCCTGGCGCCCACACACGCGGAAACAGGTGCCAAATTCGCACTGCGATACCCCTCTCCGCGCACATGTCTTTGAGCGTGCGCTCAGTACGCGGTGAACTGGAGCCGTATAACACGTGTTGATGATAAGCACAGCTACATTGGCCGAGTCTGCTAGACTCGAGCTGCTCACACCAAAATCAAGTTGCTAGGCTCGCTAGCCACAAAGTCAGACCAGAGTCAATCCCGACTCAGGAAAGTCGGCAAGTGCAAAAACTCTGGGTCATGATCGTTCTGGAATGCGTCATCCTCCAGGTCGGTTGGACAGGAATTTCGACACTGCGCATCAGCAACGGCTAGCCATCGCAAAGCAAGCAACGTCGACAAAAGCCAGCGGTCCTGCCTACCATTCCGTCTTGGACTGCACGGTAATTGTCCAGTGTCTCCAAGCTGGCCCTACTGCCGTAAAGAAGATGGTGACGCAGGGAACTCGAGCACCACGTGAGCAAGTTGTATTCTAGCGTGGGCCATCCGCGCACCTATACGTGAAGACGTTTGTTGAAAGTAAGCCCGTTGGCCTTCGTCTGGTGTTGGTGTCATCCAGAACGCTCTGCGCAGTGTACCCGATTTCCCAGATAGCGCTGCACGTTCTTGGCCAGGTGGGCCCAGAGCTTCAGCCAGCCTCACTGAGGCTCTCTCCCAGAACAGCTAGTGCTGCTCCTCCTCCACTCCCGACTTCTTCCCGCTCATCCTCATCCGCCCATCTCCCTCCTACCTCCCCCCTCCTCCACCCCCCTTTTCTGCCATCTCATCCTGCTCACTCCCTCCATCTCCCCTCCTCCCCCTCCTCCTCCCCCTCCTCCTGCTCCTCCTCCATCCCTTTCCTTATGAATATAACTCCTCCCCGTCGCGCCCCCAGGCGTTTTTGTAGGGCGAGCCGGGCGTGTCGCCTGAGACTTCCTCACCATGCGTGATCCCGAAGCTTGAGATTTGCACTGGCCTCAAGGATGGAGGGTGGTCGAATTCAAAATCTGGCTCTCGCCTTAGCGCCGCGGACATTCGTCTTAAAAGTTTGCAACAGCTTCCAGGGGAACCAATCGTTTCCAAACTGTGTCTCTCGCCATAACAATGCGACGTGCACATTCTGGGCCGTTTACAAAATGTTGCACTCGCAGTAGCGCCGCGCGCAAGGAAGGAGGACAAGTCGTGTTCAAACTGTGAATATCGCCTTAGCGCCGCGCACATTTGTCTTATGTGAGCCAGCGTGGACCTCAGACAGTGGTTTCTTGCAACATGTACGATGCAGTCTTGGTGGTGCAGTCAATGTGGTGCAATTTGGGTGGTTCAAACCAGCTGGCGCAATCTATGTGGTGCGAAGCACAGCAACGCAATGCAAAAGAATGCACAACAGTGCACGGCCATGCAAAGCCATGCACAGCAAAAGCAATGCAGGGCAATGCAACAAAATGCACGACAATGGACTGCAAGCCAATGCAACGACATGCAAACCAATGCAAAGCAAAGCAATACAAAGTAATGCATGGCAACGCAGTGCAACGCAAAGAGCATTCAAAGCAATGCAAAGCAATGCGAGGCAATGACAAGCAATACGAAACAACGCATATCAATGCGATGCAATGCACAGCAATGCACAGCAATGCGAAGCAACGCAAATCGATACAACGCAGTACAAAGCAATGCAACATAATGCACAGCAGTGAACAGCCATGCACAACCATGCACAACCATGCATAGCAAAAGCAATGCAGGGCAATGCAACGAAATGCACAGCAATGGAATGCAAGTCAATGCAAAGACATGCACATCAACGCAAAGCAATGCAACGCAATACAAAGTAACGCATGACAACGCAATGCAACGCAACGAAAATTAAAAGCAATGCAAAGCACTACGAGGCAATGACAACCAATACAAAGGCAACACACATCAATGCGATGCATTGCGAAGCAATGTAAAGCAACGCAAAACGATACAACGCAATGCAAAGCAAAGCACTTCAACACTATGCAAATCGATGCAACGCAAGCAACGCACAGAAAAGCCACGTATGTCGATGTAGTGCCATGCCAAGCGACGCAGAGCTCGACAACGCCATGCGATTGCCACGCGCTTGCACCGCAATGCAATCCGATTGCACTGCCATGCAGTGCAATACACTGCGATTGCAGCACAACGCAACGCAGTGCGATTGCAATGCAGTGCGATTGCCATGCGATTGCAGTGCCATTCCATCCGACTGCAGCGCAACGTGACTGCAGCGCAACGGGAGGGCGGTGCCACAGGGCGGCGGCGACGGGCGGGCACGGGGCCGCAAAAATGGCAGCCAACGGGCCCGCGCGACGCTTCGGTTGCCATTGGGGGGCGGGGGGGGGGGGGATGCCACCGGGGGGCGGCGGCGACGGGGCGGCGACGGGGCGCCGACGGCAAGCACGGGGCGACGGGCCCGACAGCGGAGCCCGGACGACGGGCGGCGACGAGGCGGCGACGGGGCGGCGACGGCGAACACAGGGCGGCGGACCCGACAACGGACAGAAAAGAGCATGATCGACCCACGAGCCCGGAAAGGACTATAGACAGGCAAGGCATGGCAGCGTTTCAAAAACACCGGATTGGGCGACGGGCAAATGCAATGCTGAGTGTATCGATCTTGATGTACCGTGCCGAAGGCTGTGCTGTGCAACGCCGTGCTGAATTGCGATGCGCCATGCCTCGATTGCGCTCTATAGTCGATCGAGTCCTCCTTTGCATCCGAGTCCTGACCGAACTGATCTGGATCTGAAGCTCGAGCTGCCTCAGCACATAGTAGCTGCACCCAGAGCTAATTGGCAGGGGATCATGGCAGGAGGACGCGCCGCGGAACGTCCCAAGGGACGCGCCTGGCGACGTGCCAAGGGACGTGCCACGAAGACGCACCGCGGGACGTGCCAAGGGGACGCACTACGGAACATGCCAATGGACGTGCCACGGGACAGGCCAGGAGACGCGCCGCGCGACGTGCCAGGGGGACTCGCCACGGGAGGCGCCACGGAACGTGCCAGGTTGCACTGCTGAGTGTATCGATCTTGATCTACCGTGCCGAGGGCTGCGCTGTGCTGCGCTGTGCTGCGCTGTGCTGAACTGCGATGTGCCATGCCGCGATTGTGCTCTATAGCGTTGTGGATCGAGTCCTCCTTTGCATCCGACTCCTGACCGAACTGATCTGGATCTGAAGCTCGAGCTGCCTCAGCACATAGTAGCTGCACCCAGAGCTAATTGGCAGGGGAACATGGCAGGAGGACGCGCCGCGGAACATCCCAAAGGACGCGCCTGGCGACGTGCCAGGGGACGTGCCGCGGGGACGCACCGCAGGACGTGCCGAGGGGACGCGCTACGGAACGTGCCAATGGATGTGCTACGGGACGCGCTCCCAGGGCCACGATCCCTCGTAAATTACACTGCGTCCGCGCTCCCAGGGCCACAATCCCTCGTGAATTACGTTGGGGTCGCGCTCCCAGGTTCCCGACCCCATGTAAATTACATTGCGTCCGCGCTCCCAGGGCCCCGACCCCTTGTAAATTACATTACGTCCGCGCTCCCAGGGCCACGATCCTTCGTAAATCACGCTGCGCCCGCGCTCCAAGGGCTACGATCCATTGTAAATTACATTGCGTCCGAGCTCCCAAGGCCCCGACCCCTCGTAAATTACACTGCGCCCGCGCTCCGAAGGCCACGATCCCTCGCAAATTACGCGTGGTCCGCGCTCCAAACGCTACGATCCTTCGTAGATTACGCCGCGTCCGCGCTCCCAGGGCCTCCTGAGGCTTGCTGGGGCTCCCAGGTCCCTCAAGTTTTGCAAAACAGGCGTTTCGCTCGAGACATCCTCGATTTTTTGGCGAGGGGGGCGCGACATCCTCGAACGGGCACGCAAAAAGTCAACATTCTCACATTTTTTGTGTCCCGGTCGGGGCTCCAGACATCGTTATTTTCAAAGATTCTGCTGAAAATGCCCTGCACCTTTTTTTACTAAGGAAAACGGTGGTCCGCGGACCCCGTTATTTATAGAGGATCCAAGCTGGGGGGCTCACTGTCCTCGAGCGTGCACGCGCTAAACGCATTTTTTCACGCCGAATTGGACTTTACCTCGTTTTCTTCATCGAGCGGAAATCCGCCGGCCTCCTTCAAGTCAAAAGTGTGGGTAAACCTACTAAAAGAGAACCCTGGGCCTACGCCCTTTCCAGGAAAACAGAACGCCTGAGTGCAAACACTGATTGGGGAAAAGTTCGCAACAATTTCAAGGGTGGAGGGCTGTTCCTTTTCAACATATGGCTCGCGCCTTAGTGCCACGCGCATTTGTAACGAAAACTGTGTAGCAGTTTCTAGGGCTCGTATTGTTGAAGTCCCAGGAACAGTGCTCTGGCACGATGTAGGACTGTCAGGACGCAATAATCGCGCTGATTCGCGGCGTTGAAGTCCCAGGACTAACGGTTGTCTTCCAACGGGGGCATTTTTCACAATGAAGATAAATCGCAGAAACATCTGAAAAGGAAACTTGGAGCGCGGGTCTCTTGCAACATCGCTGATGCATATAGGGTCTGCACTGATCTTCTTCCTCCTCCTCCTCCTCCTCCTCCTCCTCCTCCTCCTCCTCCTCCCTCCCTCCCTCCACCCACCCACCCTCCAGGGTCACCCGTCGTCCTCCTCCACCTGCGTCCCGTCCTCCTCCTCTTGACCTCCCCTGGGTTCTCCGAGGCACTTTAAGAGAAAGTACCTTATCCAGGGGAAGGGCCCGTCGGGCGATAAGGTAGGAGATGGGTCTCACAAACCCGTGCCTAAAACACGTCTCTTGGCTGATTTTCGACGTGGCGCCTGTGGTTTTCGAGCTCTGGCGTGGTGCCTCGATCTCGGAGCCCCTCGTCGTCATCGGAACCCTCGGAACCCTC